CCCCCCCCTCAAAAAAAAGAAGAAAGACACACTCACTTAGGGTCCGGGAAAGGGCCGCACCCCAAGGAATGCGATATAGACAGGCTATCTTAATGCAAGTATTAGTGACTGCTTCTACAGCTCGAACCTGTAACCTGTAACCTGTAGGTCACGCGGAAACAACTTTATCGTTCCCCTGAATAATGGAAAAAGATTTACTTTAGGATTTATGGAATATGTTGTTTTTGGTACGATAGTTGTCATTTTCTAGTAAAGGGTCTTTCGGAAACAACCTCTCTACTCCTTCGGGGTAGGGTTAAGGTCTGCGTACACACTACCCTCCCCAGACCCCACTAGTGTGATTTCACTAGGTCGTTGTTGTTGTTGTTAGAGAGCTAATCGAAATTTCCGATATAACAGTAAAAGCAAGACTTGAATTATCTCTTCCGATATAGCAGTAAAAGCAAGACTTGAATTATATGAGCCAGGCGTCTTGCTTTTACTGTTATTTTCTAGGGAAGGATCGAAAGCAAGACGTCTTGATATATAATTACTTCCGATATAACAGTAAAAGCAAGACGTATAGATGAATCGACTCATTAATTCCCATTGAATAAGAATGGAATGCAAGCTCTTCAATATCTCTTAATCCTCGTCAATGTATACGTTTTGCAGGACAGTATTCTTTGGTGAGTACGAGTGTTATGGGGCAGGAGCCAACTACACATTTAGGGTACCTTATTCAAAGCAGTTGAAGCAGAATGAGGCAGCACTTTACATGGATGTTTCATTTATAGATGGACAAGAATGGCTTCTTAATATGGAGTAAACACTATTCACTAACATAGTCTCAAAAATTAAGAGTTCAGAGAAAATTTACTGATTAATATATTTTAATTTGCTAGTCGATCTTGATTTGTTTGGAGCTGTTGTTGTTGTAAATATGTTGCTAGTATATTAAGGTCAGAGGCAGAGCTAGAATTCGAACTTTGTGGGTTCTGAACTTGACACCAAGCCCATACATGTCTTATTTACTAGGTTCGCAAGTATATATTAATACAAATTATATTTAATAGATTTTTTATTTATTTGAAGCCATCACCTTCAGGCTAGAGCCTTCGGTGTGGGGGGTTAGGCAAGACCCCCACCATGTCTATATATAAACAAAAAAAAAAAAAAAAATACAAAATAGAGAGGGACATGGACCTTACCTCTACAACTATTGAAAGAAAGGAAAGCTTAGATTCTTTTTATTAATCCAAGCTATACAATCAGCTTACAAAAAAATAACATTTGTTATATCTTCTTCTCCTTGAAGGAGTTGCCATCTATCTAGTTGATATAGTCCCTTGGCCTCTCTTGGCATCTGTTGGAGAGAGTGATAGAAGGTGCTAGTTCCACTAGAAGATGCTAACTTAACACGGAAATCCGCCACTTGATTTGCTTCTCTGAAGCAATGAGAAATCTGTACAGTAGCGTCTCTGAGAGCATGAGTAGTATCCATGATAATGTTCTTTAATTTAAGGTTGTTGGTTCCCCTGTTGAGAAACATATTGGCAATAACCATGGAGTCCAGTTCAGTACGAATCATGCTTAGCCCATGTTGAATGCACCATTTAGTGCAAAAGTTGGCCTCCATTGCTTCAGCTTGATTGTTACTGCTACAGTGCACAGGGAGAGAAAATGCCATCAGGAATTCTCCATCACTGTCCCTGACAACTCCTCCGGCGCCAGCAATTCTATTTTCTCTGATGAAGCTACCATATGTATTGAGTTTGATCATCCCCGCCATAGGTTTAATGCAAGTGACTTGCTTAATATTCACTGCGTGTTGAAGTCTTAGAATCATATTGCAAATGTTGGGCCATGTACCTGTTAAGTTATAATTGGGATATGTAATTTGAAGGGCTGCATGAATGTGCCAGATGGTTTGAAATTCCATCGTGCTTTTGTAGAATTTTTTTGCTTGCCATATTTACATGCTGTCCAACTTTTCCAAAGTTTCCAGCAGATGACCACTAGAGCTATCTGTAATAGAAGCTTGTGTATAGTATTTTTTGGATTAATGTCCCACTATTCCTTAATAACTCTGTTGATCGGCCACTGGTGGTGAGTGATTCCTAAAGGTGCACCAACGTGTTTTCAAATATGCCTAGCTGCTTCTCCCTCCACAAAGATATGTTGAATAGAGTTATTGTTAGGAATATGACAACAACTACATCTAGATGTTATTTGCTTGCCAAATCTAGCAGGTACTTCATCAAAGGGGAGTTTACCTAAACATAATCTCCAAGTAAGAAATGAGAATTTAAAGCGGATAGAGTTGTGCCAAAGCTTACTGAAGAACATATTTGTAGGTCTCTGATTTCGGATAATATGCCATGCAGATTTATTCGAGTATTGGCCATCTTCAGTATTATTCCATACAACATCATCTGTATCAGTTGGTTGGCCAATGTTGATATTGCTAATAACTTCCACCATTTTATTTGTGAGAGTTTTGCGCACTTGTTCATGTCCCAGCCACCATTGCTAATAAACTCACGAACATTGATTTTATTACCAATGGTGGTAATGATATTATCATTGCTATAAGCCAAAGGACCTATCATTGTCCCATTGTCCCACCAAAAATTACAGTCACCGGAGTTAATAAGCCATGTGATATTGCCTTCTGCTTTGTCTCTAGCCAATAACAAGTGTTTCCAAGCCTGTGAGTTGCCCGAGATCCATTTCTTTTTAACAGGATGACTCCTTGGACAGTAGTTAGCTTTGAGAAAATCAGCCCATAATGAAGGTGTTGTTCTAAATCTCCACCATCTCTTGATAGTTAATGTGGTAGAGATATCTTCTAGATTTTTTATACCAATGCCACCTTCATCTTTAGGAAAGCACAAGTTTTTCCAGGAGCTCCAGTGATAATTTTTTCCCCCCAGTTGTTCCCCAAAGGAACCTAGCCATGTGTTTTTCAATAAGGTTCAAAGTGCCTTTGGGAGGGTTTAGATCAGTAAGCGAGTAAGTGGGCAAAAACTGTAAAATACTCTTGATAAGAACCTCTCTGCCACCATAGGTTAACGTTTTACCTTGCCATCTATTCAGTCTCTTAACAACTTTGGTAACCATGTTATCAAAGAAACATATCTTTTTCCTTCCAGCATATATTGGACAACCAAGATAAGTGAAAGGGAAGCTCTTGTCCATAAATCCTGTGCAATCTCTTAATCTGTTGATTCTATAGGCACTAGCTTTAGGGCCGGTGAGGAAGAAGCTTTTATCTTGTTGACAAGCTGACCAGATGCCTTTCATACTTTTTGATCTCTTTCATCACCATCTTGACAGTTTTTGAATTACCACCACATAATATAACAATGTCGTCAGCATAAGCTAGGTGATTAATTTGAGGACCTCTCTTGTTCATAGAGAAGCTAGTGAAGTTCTGCTTATGAATGAGATTGTTCAGAGATCTAGCTAACACTTCAGCAGCAAGAATAAAGAGAGAGGGGGATAAAAGATCCCCTTGCTTGAGGCCTTGAGAAGAAGTAAAGAAGCCATGTCTAGTTCCATTAATAATAATAGAGTACCAGACATTTGAAACCATTCTCCAAATCATATCAGACCATTCTTTACATAACCTAAATTTATTAAGGACATCAAAAAGGAAGCTCCATGAAAGCCTATCATAGGCTTTAGCCATTTCAAGTTTCATAATAATATTTCCTCCGTTGTTTGGTTTTGAGATATCATGAATGAACTTCTGAGCTAGCATCACATTTTCCGTGATTAGTCTCCTAGAGACAAAACCACTTTGGTTTTAAGAGATTAGCTTAGACAGAAGAGGATTCAACCTTCTGTATAAGAGTTTCAAATCTGGAAGGAGAATCCACCTTGGGAATAAGAGCAATGCAGGTGTGAGAGTAAAATTTAATGAGGTTCTTCCCTTTAAGGAAATCCATGATAAATTTGATGATATCCCATGCAGCTTGAATTTTTTTTCATTAAAGCCATTAGGTCCAGCAGAGCTATCAATGCTCACACTGAAAACAGTCTCTTTGATTTCCTCTTCCAAAGACATCATAATCAAGATCTCATTATCTTTTTATGTAATAAGGTTAGGGATGCAATTCAGGATATCATTGCTCACACTAGGCTGCTGGTTGAGATTGAAGAATCTCTTAACGTGCTTGACAACATACTTAGCAATTTTTTCATCACCTTGTATCTATCTCTATGATTCTTAATTCTATGTAGTTGAAGTCTTCTTCTCCTGTCTCTCAGAATACTATGAAAATAGCTAGTGATGCACTCACCATCCTTGAAACAATTAATCTAGCTTTCTGTCTCATCAAGGATTCTTGCATACCCAGCCATCTAGTATATTTAGCATAACCTCTGTTTAGATCTTCCCTTCCTTGCTCATTGTTATTTTGCATATCAATTTCTTCCAGGATTTGCACTTTAGCTTCCCAGAAGCATACTTGTTCATGAATGTCCCTAATGTTTTCCCTCGACCATTGACTGAGATGCTTACTAAGAAGTTTCAGCTTACTCTGAAGCCTCCACATAGCATTACCTTCAATATTTGTGTTCCATATCTCCTGAACCATATCTAGAAAACCTGGTTGAATGGTCCAGAAGTTGAGGAATCTGATGTATTTGATGTGATGTTGTTGGTCATTATGATATTTAAATAGAAGGGGTCTATGATCAGAATCATTCCTTACCAAATGTTTCACAGTGTTGTTTTGGAAGAGTTGAGCCCATTGATCATTGATCATAATTCTGTCCAGTTTCTTCCAAATTCTTTTACTAGGCCTTCTGTTGTTGCACAAAGTGTATCTTGGACCAGTGAAACTAATGTCCATTAAGCCACAAGATTCCATAGTACTAATAAAATCCAGACTTCTATATGCTCTATGAGAATTACCCCCTAGTTTTTCAACCGGATCCATGATAATGTTAATGTCTCCACCAATACACCAAGGCCTTCAATAGTGTTGTTCATATTATAAATACTATCCTACAAATCCCTTCTTTCACTAGCTGTACATTTAGCATGTACTGCTGTAATAAAGGTTCCTGAATCTGCAGCATTATCTTTCATTTTGAGAGTAATTTGTTGTTCACTGTTTGCCAGCACCTCAGTGTGATCCAAGTAGTTCCAGAAGCACCAGATCTTACCAATGATATTGTGAGCACGTGATTTTTGCCCTATATGAATTACTCCTATAAAATCCAAGAAAATATATTTTTTCTAGTTACTTGCCATTTTATAGGATTTTTGTAGAATTTTATTAATTATTTGCATTTTTGTGCACGTTTAATTCCCATTAAAAATCATGAAAAATACCAAAAAATACCATGCATTGCATTTAGGTTTTATTTTACATTCTTAAGGTTAATTAGTTAATTATTTATTTTACTAAAAATAAAAATCACAAAAATGGTCCATTGTTGCATTTTAGCTTTAATTTTAGAATAGTAATTTTCCTCTTTTTGATTTAGGATCAAGGAATTTTTATAATTTTTATGAAGTTGATTAGTTTTACAATCTAGATTAATTTAGGATTTTAATTTAGGGTTTTAATTGAAAAAAAAGAAGAGAAAAGAAAAAAAAAACAAAAGAATAGGAAATAAAGGGTTAATTGCAAAAGAGCTGTTTTAATTCAAAATGGGCCAATTCAGGTTAAGCCCAAACTCCCCCTTACCCGTTCCAACCCCCAGCCCAATACATTCACCCGGTCCAGCCTCGCCTTATTCGAAACGACACCGTCTTGTTAATTCGCCTTACTGATCACCCATTTGCATAAAACTGTCCAAATAGCCCCCCATACCCATTCAAACCCCCCATTCCATCTCTCAAATTCAAAAACGAAAATGCTAGCCGCCCTGTTTTGCTCCACCATCTCCGCCGTGGTCCGCCGGCCGGAATCGCCTCACAGCGGCGGACCACCTCCAATCCACTCCAAATTAACACCCCAGAACCCTCATTACCTCCTTTCTCCACATCTCGAATCCGTTTCCTTCAAATCATCACCAAGCACCTCGAATCTTAGATCTAAACCCGGAACCCCCAAAACCCTAAATCACCCAAACAACCCCAAAACTACACCATGCAACCTCCTCCTCCTCTTCCCAAATATCCCTTTGGTTCCCCTCGAATCGCCCTTAATTCTGTCTAACCTTGAATCAACGATTCAAAAAAAAACCCTAGCTTCTTTTACCTTTTTTGCGGTCAGTACTTGGGAGTTTGTGAACCCAAACGCCCATTAGTTGATTGTTCTTGCTAAGAACAACCAATTAATGGCTGTATAAGTTCACGAGTGTCTCGTTCAGGATAGTTCAGCAACTGGCGGGGTCCAAAACGGCTTTAGGTATTTTTTTTATTTTGTTGTTTGTTTGTGTTCTTTCTTCTGTTCTACTTTCTACTTTCTTTTCCCCACTTGTTTCTTCTTTTTGAGCATATGAGATCTTGACAAGTGACAATGTTCCTTTGAATTGGTATCGTCAACTTGTTCATAAAAAAACATGCTGAATCTTGCAGTTAGTTAAGTTTGGTTTTGATTGCATAGGATTTAGGTTGATTTTTAATTTATTTGCGTGATTGCTTTGTTTTGTTCGCATTTTGTATTTATTCCCCTCTGGTATTCTCTGTCTTAGTTGCAAAGTTCAGCTTAGTTTCAATCAGATTTTCAAATGCTAATTGATTAAGTTGTTTCGATTTTTAAATTAAGTAGTCTAATTTCTAGGGTTTCTTCATAGCTTTCTTTCAATTTTTGGTTTGTTAGTTGTTCAAGTGTCAGTTGTTTAAATTCAATGTTTGCTTAGGGTTAACTAAGTGAGCTCTTACTAATTAGGAGAATATCAGTGTTTAGTTACATCTTTTGATTTTAGACCCTGAATCTTTTGATTTGCAAATCATTAGAAACCTGTAGGGACTAATTGAACTAAAAGAACTTGGGACAAAGCTGAAATAGGTAGTAACTAGAAGGGTAAAAATAGACTTTCACATAGGCTAAAATCAGAAGCTTCTAGAATAAGGGGCAGCTGTCCCAATTCAGTTAGCACAAATATGCTGAGCAAATAAGGGACAACCAGCTGTCCCAGTTAGTTAAAAAAGATGCCTTTTGGCAGGCTAGGAATATGCCTTAATTCTGGTTTCAGCACATGGCCTTAGAGGCCTATAAGTAGTGACTTTTCTTCACTCTCAAAAAGAGACTTGGAGCATCATTCTCTACACCAAAAAATACTAAAAAACACATCAAAATTTCATAATAAAAGGTTTTTTTTTTCTGCATTACTTGGCTGGTCTTTCTGGTTTTTTTGGGAATTTTAAAAGGCTTCCATGGATTTTCTGGGCTTCTATGCTGAAATTTGGCTAGTTGTTGAAGCTGTTTTGCTTGATTCTTCATCACTGGTCCTGGCTGCTATGTTGATTTATTGTTACTGAGTTTCCTTCATATTACGTTTGCTGTTTTTCCTGTTGTTACTCTTTCAAGGTACCCTTTCCAGTTCATTTATCGTGTAGTGGTTTTCTTTTATGAAATGGAATGATTTATGGATTTTATGTGAATGTAGGTGAGCCAGTATAGATCTGGTTCAAATTCATTCTTTGAAAATCAGTACGACTCTTGTTATATGGGTTGATTAATCATCTGTGACTTCTTTTTCCCACATGTTTAAGCTTAAAATTTGCTTTCAAGCTGTAGACTAGAATGCGAAGGGTCCAATATGTTTAAAGTAACCTATAGGGGCCCTTGTGAGGGTTGAAACCTGATCTTATTTTATTGTTTTGTTATTTAACATGGTAGACTAACTAGTGGAATCTGTGAGATAGTATTAAAAGGATTTGGACATGTTTTGGTTAAGCTTTCCTTGTGTGATTGGAACAATGAGGGGTTATAACTGTGCTAACTTTTGTTCTGTCTGCATGCTGCTACAATGAATCAAATGCAGATTTGCAAGTTAGATCTATAGCTGCTCTTGCAAATCCAAGCACGTTTGGAATCACAAAATCCCCTTGGATGGAAGTTTGCTGCCTTATTAAAAGGATGGATCATCTTTATGAAGTTTTCTTTTATTAATGAATAGTTAGATTATTTAGTTGTTATGATTAGATTGTGTAAACTTGTTATTTCAGTTTATCTATTTGTATAGTTGATTGGATGCATTTAGCTATTGATAGTTAATTGTAATTTTTTATAATTTATGTACTTGATTTTAAATATATTCAATAGATCAGCATGTTTTATTAATGAATTAGGCCAAGGTGTGGGGCCTAAATGAATGGCCTGGTCAAGATCACTTCA